TACTACATCGTTTAGGATGATGATGGTGATGGATTCCTATACTATACTATACTTGTAGACTTTTTTGCATCAACATTCGATAGCTGTCTAGAATAGTGGTTTAAAAAGCTAAGAAGCGAATGCAAGGTTGACGAATTGTAGACCATACCAATGTTCTCATCAGATTGTTTTAACCAATGAATATCTTGGAATCGCAATCACAATAAAATTTGGCATTTTTCGGAATGAATCTCAGTAATAAATCAAAAAAAGAATCAATTTTGGATTGGGCCACTATTTTTGATGAGCAGCAATTGTACAAGTAGTTATATGAAGGGATATTTAAAATTTTTGTCTTACAATTCCATTCACGAAGTCATGAAAACTGTTTTATTCCTTCCGGACCGAACGGGTTAGACTCCCAGGCTGCTCTCAAGTATTTCACCACCACTCTCGTAATGACGTTTGTCGATCGCCTGCTTAATGAGGCCCGCGAACAATGTTGACGCGGCGCGTGATCAAAGCGTTTTCGCTCCAACACTAATTCGCGGCACTTCTCTATTTATAAGCAGGACGGACATTCGAAGAGATCGTAAGTGAAATGATTCATGATATGTATCATTAGGCATTACCAGACGATGCAAAAAAACGTATTATTGAAATTAGTAGGAGTTAATTTAGCAACGAGGTGCCCATGCTGGTTCTGCTGCTACAAAGTTTGGTTCGAAGCTATTTATTACAGCCTAACGATAACTACTTAAGGTAGTTATGAAATAAGCAAGTTAAATTAGGCACCATTAATGAATAAATTAATTACAAGTGCGTATTTTGTGATTTCTAAATCAGCGAACGAGAAGATGGTCCCAAAACATTAAGTACCATTCATTACTAAGGTAAAGGTATTTCCGATAGATAGCTCTGAAAATTCTTAAAATAGACAATACATTGACGACCGTGAAACATTAGATAAAGATATTTATCTAAATATCGAGGTTTGAAACTCAAATAATAGTTTTGAAATATTTCATTTAATGAAAAAGTCCTTTGTAGTAATTTTCTTTCCAATCAAACGCATAGTCATTCTCGATTACAATAACACGATTAGTGCAACAGACACTGAAGCATCAGTGCGTAATAATGCGTTTGTTTGCGTTGGAGCAATTTGTATCCCCGAGGCGTAAATCAAACGTGTCGTACGACTACCACACGTGGCAGTCCCCGGCCAGGGCTGCCACTTCAAAATTTTTTGCAACAGATGACAACATTCGTGCAAACCGTTATCTCTTTAGTTTTGTGGATAAGAACACAAATCGATGTTGGGGACTTTTTAGTTCACAAATTTTAAATGTCAAAGGTTTTTGATTTATATTTAAAATTTCAAATACACTTAATTTTTTTTTTTCAACTATAATCAGTACATCTATGGACTACAGTAAATGTATGGACAATTTCTTTGTCTGCAAAGTGTATCGCAAAGTTAGTGAAGCCAAGTTATTTTTCTTGCTTTGTTTCAGTCACTAACTAATAATAATACACTATCATTAGCAAACAAACTCTTACTGAAAATGTCAACAAATTACACTTGGAATCTTCATGTACTCAAATTCAATGGATAATTCAAAAAGCAGAAGCACAAGTTCTTCATTTTAGGGGATTCCCCGAACATGTTTGTTCTCTTTCAAGTTGTTGTATGTAGGCACATTTTCTTTGTAGTCGTTGACTAGACATTTAATTCTGTTTTCTGCGCAAATATGAAAAAATACAACAAATAACAAATATACAACAATACCAAGAACACAGCAACGCATGAAATGACCGATTGACAGCTTCCAACAAAAAATAGCCAATCAACAGGCATGATGGACAAATGTCCGTATCACAAACGTAAAAAAAAATATTTCCAGATATATTGTAAGTGTTGCAAAGTTTCACAGATTTTAGCAGTTTTTAGTCCTACGACTAGCAGAATCATCAAATTAAATCTGGTCGCACTACTCCCACATTTAAAAACCAAAATTTTTATGTTTGTAATCATTTTTGTTTATTATCAAGTCAGTATGACTGCAAAGTAACAATTGTAATCCTCAAGTGAAAGTAATAGTGATGACATTTCTTGGATTATTACCCGTATCACCCTTAAAAGGTGCGCAACCGCAGCGGCGCCCGCGTTTAAATTTATAGCTCTCAATCAATGCGGATTTATTGCCGAGGAAGTGCCCGTGCCTTTGCCGCTCCTTTTGTTACAAATGCCCAATTTAGATTTAGATTATAATTGGTCTACCACCTCTAATGTCTCTAGTATACATGTTTATGCCTACGTTTTGAGCAACTGATTAAGTTCTAAGACCTTGGTGACTCTATATAACGTATATTGTTTTGTTATGACTCAATTTAGAATCATACGAGCTTTAATTCATTTTATTGAATATTGTGATATTCTTATAATTATTGTTGGAAAAAACAAACACAAAGAATTTTACCGATCCGACAGGACATTCAAATCACCAACTGAGCTATAGATCGAGTCAGTTGATTTTACGAATTACCCTTATATGCCCATTGCAGATCTTTGAAATGGTTTTAAGCGACTTTCTTGCCGTGGCGCCACCTGTGAGACATTTATGAAAGTTTCTTCACTCGATGAGGCAACAAACGTTAGTTCGAATTCAGTCGCAGCGAAGGAAATTTTCTTTATGTTTATTCCATCTTTGTATTAATAATAAGACCTTTTTAATATACTTTAAATTCTATTGCAATACCTTCTAAATGTTGTCGACACAGATTTCGATACCTACGTGGTCTCATGTCAGTTTAATGAGTAGCCTACGCTTATTTTTGCTGTAATTCTACTAAATTTAAACTCTTAATAATTAATTTCATTTTTAGTAGCAGTAGAGCTCGTCCAGGGAAGTACTGCCACCTTACCTATTTCTGCCGCCTAGCAGTAATCCGAGTATTACTGCTTGAAACTTTGAAATTACAGGCACATGGGACTTGTCGACTTATGTCTCAGACCTTGCGACTTAAAGCTCTGCAATTAATGACTGCAATTGCTATGGACAGATATGTCGCTTAACACCAGGCGCACGACTTGTTCGTCAAGTCACTTACTATCGTAAAAAACTTACAAAAGAATTCTTTTTTGCTTCCACTAAATTTAAAATCCTAATAAATAATTATTTATTTATTTATTCCTCTAATATAGACGATATCCATTTTACTCGTCATATAGTGTTAGAATATCATTAAGATTTACATAATAATAAATCAGCTGCCTATTGAGTGTTCCAATAATTGATGAGAGCATGAGTATGCATTTGGCAAGAGCTGCGAATGTATAAGAGGATTCAGAAGTACGACAGGAAATAGCATCTCCTGTCAATACCTCTAGAATTTATGACCACTTCAATATTTGCGCGATGTGATTGACCGACATACTAAATCTAATTATACTGAGAAACAATGATATCATGTGATTTTGGCTTGCTGTTTTTTACAAGGAAAATGTCTTTATGAATTTTGTTTACAATAATTATTTAAAAATTATTATTTCTGTGTTCTAAAGCATTTTGCGTTCCAAATTATACTGCTACAAAAAAAAAATCTTTCGTCAAGCTTGATTTACAAAAGTGTTGTGACATAACATTGTAAATAACACATCATACATTTTCCGCTGTCACAATTTAATATTTCAGAATTCGAATCACGTATAAATTTTCACAAATCGCCCTGCCCTTACGTTTGAAAACAAAAATATTTCTTGCGTTATATTTGTTGATTTACGGACAAATGTGACAGTTTAGTGCCCATGGAGGAACACAAATAACTCATAAGCTGACAATTATGCGATACTCAGCGCGCACGCGAAAAAATTTATCGCTTCCGACTACATGCTACCACGGCGCCAAAATATAATTAGTAAAAATATTACTATCACCGTGAGAAAACACAACACATTGCTCAATTTCAAGTTAATTGAAATGCAACCGAAAGGGAAATCAAGGCATCAAAAAGATCCCCTGGGGAACTCCATCAACTATACTAAAAAAATGTCGTTAAGGGGTTTTCAACAATTGACAACCCAAATCGTAACTGTTTATTTGAATTATATATTTTTGATAATATGTTGAGCAAGTTTTATAAAAAGTTGCAGTCATAGTATGTATCTCTATCCCCAAAATACTAAAGTGAAAAGTATGATTAAAATAAATTCAAGAGTTCATAAGAATTTTACTGAAGCATACTTTTCAACTTTTCTCTGCAATCGACATAAACTTCAAACATTTCAAAAATAACCGTCACTGAAAATAAAACGAAGATCATTGTCGTTTCTACGTAAGTATAGTTTTCATCACCTGGCTTATTTATAATACTGCCTTGACAGGGTGCGATAAAATTATTGCCGCCATTTTGGATGCGCGTGAGTTTCCCGCCATTACAGCAATTAGTTGAGTGAGATGTCCGCCGCGATGTGGACGGTTACGGTTTTTATGGGATTGTTTATTTTGCTTTCTTCACATGTTTATAGTTTTATTCTTCCGTTGACTTTATATGCAACAAAGTGAAGCAAGTGTGTCAAACGTCTCTTTTAAATCGTGTAGTGATAATGAATTTGTGATATGTACTTTGTGAAAAGTGGTTTGTGCACAGTGCGTTTACTTCCTTACTGAATTCAGAGTCATATACTACTTTATATATACTGTATCAACCTATATACACTCCACTGCTGGGCACGAGGTTTCTAAAGTTTGTGTGCATTAAAAATGCCAACGTCTGATATGGTGCTATATTATAAATACAGCAGTAGATACATATTACATCAGTTGTAACTTTTTAGGGTTACCACCGTTTTTATAACTTTTACTTTAAAAACTTCACGTAATTTCTATTGCGCTTTTTTCAATGTATATTCATTCTCGCCCCAAAAAACTTTTAATTATGTCTAGTTGATTTTCATTCGCCATTGTGGAATTGCTTTACGTCTTCGACAAAAGAACTGCATAATTTCATTTTATCAACAGGTCTGGTTTCCGCGGCGCAGTGTCCACGAAGCAATTTTCTGTCGCACCATTTGGTGGAGCGCGTGCCCAACACCAATGATACAACTACAGACTTGCCGTCTTTGCACCACCCTATCAGAGATGTAAGTCCAATTTATACCCCTTTAGTTTAAAACATTTAGTATTATTAACTAATGTAAAATTTTGTAGCTAAACCGTTCAATAACTATCAATTTTAAATTCAATCAATTTTAATCATGACTTTACATGGCTGCTTGTATATGTTGTGTACTTGTAAAAATATTTGACGTATAAATATGGCCGTCTACACATGGGACCAAACAAGGAGTAAAAATAATGAATGTGACCATTAATGGAGAGTTTACTTGCGTATTTGCCTCTTTGATGTTCGTCAAGAAATCGATCAGTGCGCGCTAACGCAAGATTGGTATTTGCCGCATTTGTCGTGCAGGCAAATAAGGCAAATACTTTGTTACACATGTCATCTACACATGGTGATTGTTTGCCAAATATGTACTTTATTAAAACATAAGTTAATGTATCGTTGTATATCATTGAACGAGATTTTTCTTTGTCCTTATAAGAACTCATCACTGTGCGGACGAGGTACATCGTACTCGCCCCTACAAGCACTCAGTGAGAGCACATGTCGCGACCACGGAGCTCAATCCGTTCCGCCGCCGCAGCCGCTGCCGCCAAGAGTCGTAAGTTTCTGCAAAGCTAAACGGACTGGACTAGTACATAAGATTTATTATGACAAAATGCAGAGTCCAGAAAAATAATGATCACTTGAAGAGAATTTTAGGAAAGTAGACTTTATAATTTGAAAAAAGATACACACTAATACTACCTCAAATAAGGGCAATGCTATGTATAATCAATTTTAACTTTTTTAATTTTCGGCCTTATAGTCTCAAGCATTTTTTATATCTAAAAGTAATAGTTAATTTTCAAGTCATTGAACCTTATTAGTTTTTTGTTATTTATACAAAAATACGCGCTTTGACTAAATGGCGATATTAACTTAAAACATGATTTTAAATGACTTTAATCATTCTTTCTCTGATCTCCTCAGATATTTTGAATATTTTATCATTTGCTCAAACATTTATTTGTCACTTGTCATAAATTTAGGTAAAATGACAGAACGCCTTGAAGAAAGAAAAAGCTTTGACCGAAATGAGTGCCTTTAAACTTGGTCCACAAAAGTTCGTCGTCTCAAAATTTTCATAAGAAACGGTTTTCTATCGATAGTAATGTGGAGGACCCATTAAATTTATTCAAGTATTTTCATAACAACCATTGTTAATATCAACAGGTATCAGGCACCCAAAACGTAACCCTCCACCCGGCAGTCGCGCGATGCACTGCAACCTTGGAACTAGCAGCTCTCTGGAGAAGCTTTCATGAACTTGGAACAGAAATGATTGTAACCAAAGCCGGCAGGAGGATGTTCCCCGCGCTGCAGGCGAGGTTGGGCGGCATGTTGCCCAATGCTGACTATTTGTTGTTAGTGGACTTTGTGCCACTGGACGACAAAAGATACCGATATGCCTTTCACAGGTTTGTAATGTTTGTTTTCTCTTTAATTAAACTGTATGTACATAATATGTATAAATTATTAAGCGACGGGTCTAACAAGTCGTGCGGCTGATGGCAAGCTACGCGCCTATCCATAACAGTTCTAGTGTCCTCAGAGCTTTAAATCGCAAATATCTGAGGTCCACTGCCACTGCGCCCATCACCCTGAGACATAAGGTGACAAGTCCCATGTGCCTGTGACTTCAGCAGCACCCTTACCCTTCCAAACCGGAACACAGAAATGCCGACTTTACTGCTTGGCGGCAGACATAGGGAAGGTGGCAGTACTATCCTGGACGTACTCTTTTACGAGGAGCTCTACTGCTGCTATATAGATAAACATTTTTTCAATTATATTCATATGTAAATAAAATACATACACCCCTGCTCCACTCACTTATTACATACCTACACACTCAAACGCACCTCTAAAAAAACACCCATTCATCTACAATTATTTAATCACACAACTCCTAACACACTTATACACCTGTCACCTGTTTCTTATCTTTCCAAATACCTTTTATAGCTTATATAATTTGTAACCACTCTTACAGATAATATTATTATAACTATATACGTAACATTCTGACACCATATTGATTCTCTATTCTGAACTACCTAGCAGAATCATCGCCTCGTATTTCAATATATATAATGCTGCATAATGCTGAGTCAGGTTCTTCTTGCTGATATAGATAGTACTATCAACTCTACACTTATAAGTCTGGAGTGTTCTATTGTGTTGGGTATGCCCGCAAACCTAGGCTAGCTTTTTTGTCATGTTATAAGCTTGTTTGTAATGTAGTGTGATTCAGCAAATAAACGAATTGTCTACCTATATATCGAAACGAGCCCTGCAGGGGGCGCGTGGTCGGGTTCAGATTACGGGTTGTCCTTATGCTCTTCGGTGGTACAACGGTTAGTACTAGTGGTGTTTGATGGGGTTCCGGGTTCGATTCTCAATTTGGGTCAATTTAGGAAACGAACATTTTTAAGTTGGCCCTGGTCTGGGTATTCTGGATATTGTTCGCAGAGTTATCGTTATTCTGGTACTCATAGTACAGGAAATTCCCTAGTTTTTCACCCACCGCCACTAGAACATTGGTGTAATTGTCTGGCATTATTATTATTATATATTTCTTTTTACCTTAAATACTTCTAACTTATTTGGCATAGATTCCAAGAAAAAGGAATCTAGCAGAGAGACGACCGAGATACAACGCTACAAGTATCTTATTTCCACTACAGCGGGAAGTATGATTTATATTTTGTTGTGGTATAACCACCAAATAGTGGTTACAATATTCTGTAATATACTCCCGGACATATAATTCGAGCCACCTCGCATTTTTGTCGTAAAAGGCTAAAATACAAAACTAGTGTTATCATCAAACAAAACGGTTTTTCCCCGGTTTTGCAAATCCAAATTTCCAACAAGGACTTATGGAAAAGAAGTTTATAGTGTACTAGTTCCAAATTTGTGTAATAGTTTTTGAGCAACAAACATTGTATAAGCTTACTTAATACTGAAAATGCGTGGTGGATCGAATTATGTTTCCGGAATTTATTGTCCATAGCTCAAGCTGGGTTGTAGCGGGCAAAGCGGACCCTGTGTCCCCGCCACGCATCCACGTCCACCCTGACTCCCCTGCTCCTGGCAGCCACTGGATGCGCCAGCTCGTGTCCTTCGACAAGTTGAAACTCACCAACAATCAGCTTGATGACAACGGACATGTAAGTTCTTTTGCAATTGAATGAATTTTCAGTCTTCAAACATTCGTTCGTTTGTTTTTTTTTTTACAAGCTTTTTAAACCTCTTCTTGTTATTTGCTCATGTGTGCAATTTTGGCATGATATGATTGGATAATATATTCAATAGAGTAACTTAAGAATTTAAATAGCTATGAATCGAGTCGCTATCAAACCAATACGTAAGAGCTATTTAAAAAAAAATTCTATTGGAGCAGATAATATTGAACTCCATGCATCGCTACCAACCGCGTCTGCATGTGGTGTACCTTCCGGCCGACGGGCAAGGCCCTGCGCCCGGCACGGTGCCCTACCGCACCTTCGTCTTCCAAGAGACTGGCTTCACCGCCGTCACCGCCTACCAGAACCATAGGGTAAGCCAATGAGTACCAACTTTTTTGTGTCATGAGCAAAATTATCATATCTTAAGATTTTTGTATCCACACAACATACTCTGTCGAAGAACCGACAATCGATGCGGGAAATGAACTCTTGAGTGGAGACCACGGCTCAGCAAACGTAGTGTAGAACGCCTCCTGCCCGATGGAGTGACCATCTGCGAAAGACTGGTAACAGCAGATGGATGCGATAAGTTGAGGACCGGACGAAATTTCGCGCATTAAGAGAGGCCTGTGTGCAACAGTGGACTGCAATAGGCTGATGGTGTTCCACACAAGAGCAATTTTACTGAAACAGTATTTTGTCATCACGCTGAACCCGTAGTTACCACTAATGTATACTGTATTTTGCTACAGATAACACAATTGAAGATAGCCAGCAATCCATTTGCAAAAGGCTTCAGGGATTGCGATCCTGATGACTGGTAAGCACAATATATATATATATATATATATATATATATATATATATATATATATATATATAGGGTGGAACAATCAATGGGACTAGAAACATCGACATAAAAGGACCGTAAATGCTTAAGCTAGCTATTTTTAACCAAAGGAAATATGCTTGTATTTTTCTTAATATGAATACTGCATTCACAGAATGTTTACTAAAAAAACCGACCTCAAAAGTAAGTGGAATTACGTCTATTTGCTAAGTTTTATTGAAATATCCCCTAGTTCGCCACTACACAGGACTTGACACTCGAGATAATAAAAATCGGTTCTCACTATTCAAAGTATATGGAGAGAAAAACGCCTTGAACTGGAGAAAAAGCAAAATCAACCATTAAAGTAATTGCTCCTAAATTAAAGTTAGGCGCTATTTATATAAATGAATCTTCTTGCGTGAACAGCCACCCTTCGAGGTGGATACTTTTCTGCAAAATGAAATGGGACCACTATGGAAGTACTTCCTTTCCAACAAAAAAAGAATCATGAAAATCGGTTCACAAATACCGGAGTTATCGCTTAACATACATACAAAAAAAAGGCACAACAGACGAATTGAGAACCTCCTCCTTTTTTGAAGTCGGTTATATTGGATATGATCAATAAGGATAAAACCTCTACAATAAACATTGTGTCTTAAAATTAAAGATAACCATGAAACCTAATATTAATTTTATATTATTATTGACTTTTCCATTGGTACAATAAAATAGTGAGAGTATATTTTTTGCATTTTTAGTCGCTTCAATTCTCTGTTTAGACGAGTTTTTCAAAAATTCTGTGAATGCTGTTATTCATATTTTATAAAGAAAATGAAAATATTTTTTCCTTTATTATTAAAATTAGCTATCTTAATTAAGCATTTAAGGTATTTCCCCTTCATGTCCCATTGATTTTTTCCACACTGTATATTAATATACAAGTTGACATTTTACTTTCGCACCGGCTTAAAATCTCGAATAAAAAATGTCCTTTGAAAAACTAACTTACGACTGTTGAGAGTACAGTTCATTATTTACCTCACCCGCTTGCCTTTTTTTAGCTTCGTTCATTTTTATTGAATAAAACGGCAATGAAACACTTAAATATTTCAAAACATGATCACGGATGGCTCCACTAAATGTCCCCTAACTCTTTCGTGCCAGAGTTACGAGCTATTTAATGAGCTGTAAGCGAAACCACATTGTGTGCACGGCATCAAATCCGCCCCCTGTGGCACGCCACCCGTAACTCAGTGGCCGCGACAATTTTACGCTTTTAGCATTATTTTACGACATTCACGCGTAGTTTTCGAAATGACACGGTGCTGTTATAATTTTTAATTGAAATGGAAAAAAAATATATAATTAAAAAGGTATAAAAACGGTATATAATGCTAGCATTATATAGTGACTGCCTCCGTGGCCGAACGGTCATCACGCTAGTCTGCCACGCAGACGTCCCGGTTTCGTTTCTCGAGCTGGGAATCATTTATATTTATTTTTCTCGTGAGCTTAGGTGTAATTTGTGGTCTGTGTGTATTGGGTCCATGAGTTTATAATAAGTGTCCATGTCACCCGCGATACAGTGTTTTCCTTCCTCCTTGTGCAAGAGTTTTTTCCAGGGATGTACTGCCATTTACTTATTTCTGCCCCCAAGCAGTAATGTAAGCATTACTGCGTTTCGGTTTTGAAAGGTAAGGGTACTAGTGTAATTACAGATACATGAGACTTGTGAACTTATGTTTCTCTTAGTGCGCAGTGGCAGTTCCCCTCAGAACTTTGCAATTTAAATCTCTAAGAGTCACTGCGACTGCTATGATGATGCAGGCGTGTCGCTTACCACCATGGCTACGACTTGTTCGTCCCGGCCTCTCTCGGTATCATAAAATAATCTCAGTACAATGTACTAAAAAAACCGACCTCAAAAGTATTTGCCAAGTTTTTTTGAAATCGGTTATCGGGAAGTGCGCAAACCCGGCTTCATCCCCTAGTTAGACACTATACGGAACTTGACACAGGAGAGAAGGGACCACCTTGAGCTACTTGGTCTGGACTTATCATCCAACCTCAACTTTGGGCGATACATCGAGTGCTTGGCAAAAACTGCTGCCAGAAAACTAGGCATACTTTTCAATGTCAGGCGGTACTTCACACCTGAACAGCTTTTAAATCTATATAAAGCACAAGTTCGATCCTGTATGGAGTACTGCTGCCACCTTTGGGACGGCTCTGCCCAATACCAGTTAGCTGCCTTGGACTCGGTGGAGCGTAAAGCAAAGAGACTTATTAACAATAATCCTCTTGTGGAGTCGAAGCTCCAAAATCTCGATCATCGCAGAAAAGTAGCCTGCTTGTCGGTTTTCTATCGGATACATTTCGGGGAGTGTGCGCAGGAACTTTTCAATTTGGTTCCGCCCTCACCGTTCCTCCTTCGGTCGACTAGAGGGTCCGGAGCACTCCATTCTTATGTCGTTGATATTCCACCTATTCGCACTAAGCGCTTTGCTTCCTCCTTTCTGATGCGTACGGCAAAGGAATGGAATGCTCTACCCTGCTCTACTCTATCTGTATTTCCCGAAAAGTACAATTTGGGGCTATTCAAGGCTAGAGTGAATAGGCATATTTTAGGCAAACGCGTCCCATCGTCGGTCACATCGTCGCTTAACATCAGGTGAGATTGTGGCCAAGCGTGTGTCTATTATATATATATAAAAAAAAAAAAGAGAATAAAAAAATCGGTTTTCACTACTAAAAGTATGTATATTGAGAGAGAAAAACGCCTTGAATAAGAGAATAGCAAAATCAACCATTATAATTATTGCTCCTTATAATAAAATTTTGGCGCTATTTATAAATTTGAATCTTCATGCGTGAGCAGCCACCCTTAGAGGTGGATGATTTTCTTCAAAATTAAATGGGACCACTATAAAGGTACCCTCTTTCCAACAAAAAAAGAATCATGAAAATTGGTTCACAAATACCGGAGTTATCGCGTAACATACATACAAAAAAAAGCATACATTCGAATAGAGAACCTCCTCCTTTTTTTTAAGTCTGTTAAAAAAATATCGTGCAACAATTGAAGTCATGATGCATTTTGATGTTATGATTTTTTTTTATACCGCCGTAACCAAATACATTAATGCTTTAATGCAGTATTAGAAATCAATAACTTTTTTATTAAAAAAAACTGACCTCAAAATTTCGTGGAATTACATCTATTTGCCAAGTTCTATTGAAATCGGTTACCGGAAAATGCGCGAAACCGGAGTCATCTGCTAGTTTGCTTAAAGGTGGAATATTTTCTTCAAATTTAAATAAAACCAACACTGGGGTACCTCAGCTTTTACAACAAAAATTTTGATGATCTTTATCAAAATCGGTTCTCAATTCGACTGTGCACTGGCAACCAGTACTATCTCAATTTTAATCATTTACCGAATGAACAAAATAATTGTTTGCATCATTTATATAACATCTGGTCAGAAGTTAGTACAAGTTGAATGAAGGTGATTCTGGCGCTAAAATTAAATGTATCTGAAATTGAATTTCTTGCAAAGCTGCGGAGTATGAAATCTTTAAAAAATTGAAATAGTACTGGTTGCCAGTCCACAGTCGAAATGCCGAAGTTATCGCGTAACATACATACAAAAAAAAATACAGTCCAATTGAGAACCTCCTCCTTTTTTGAAGTCGGTTAAAAATAATACGAACCACACATGTATACGTTATTCGTCATGAAATCAAAATAACACCAAAGTTTAATATCCGCTTCAAAATTCCTGTCCTTGTATGATTCTTATACACTGGCATAGTCATTTCAACACTTGGTGACAATATAATTTTACGAGCCTATGTCGTTTCGTGGTGTCGCATTAGAAAGAGTTATACTGACAGTTACTACACTATGTTTCCTTTACAACTACACGAATGTAGATTCCCTGAGGTTACGACCAGGATGCGTTATTGGACGAGCAACGAAAGATTTAATTTACATTTGCTGTAAACGTTTAACTACGCACTATGTAGACGTTACGTTTTGTGGAGTGAAATTTCAGATCAACGTTTGTGTTTAGTATTTTCGCATTCCGTTACGATATGCTTATGATCTCATTGAACTCATATTTGCAAAAAGGGGCCAAAGGGGGTCAAAGACCACGTTTATCTGCTTTGCTGCAAAGTATTAAGTTTTTCGAATCTTTTTAACTCATGTTTTTTTAGAATTAACTTCAAGCAGGATGATTTTCAACAGAGAAAACAACAATAATTATACCTTAAACATTAATAATTTATAATTATCTCCAACAAATCGATACCTCCAATGGACATTACGTCAACTGAATTTTTGGTCTTTTCTGTTTTTTAATGTAAACAGATAGCGAACAAAAGTCGTAGAGATCGGTATACGGATTCGAGCCTAAAATGGAAATGAGCAGGACACGTTGCTAGGCGGGAGGATGACCGATGGACCAAGGCGGTCACTAAGTGGTACCCGGTAGGAGCGAGACGTCCCCGAGGCACATCACCTCGCTAGAAGCTAGATGGTCGGACGATATCTTCTGGGTGGCCGGAAGACTATAGATGAGGTTCGCCAGAGCCGATTGCACTGGCGTGTAAAAGACGAGGCGTATACTCAGCAGTGTGTGTTAACGGGATGAGATGATGATAAATGAAAACAGCTTTATTTATTTACTAATTATATTTATACTCCCTTATAATTATACTCTTTAAATTTTGTGAATATATAAAATAATAAATTGATGGAGCATAATAAAATAATATAAATAAGGATTTTGTACATAATATAATATAAATTACTAAAAATTAAGCTGGCTTAGTTCATTGGAAGTATCGAAATTACCCTCTTTTACTATTACTTGACCGATCTTCTTTTAATAGCTTTTGTTACAGTACTAAACATCATTCTGGATTTTCCGACACCTTGTTCAATGTGACATGCCTTCTCTTTTACGAGGCTAAAACTTACTAAGGCGAAAACTTTAAGTTCTACTTCCCCATCACATTATAAATAAACGACTCAAGTATGAAAAATGTTGCCAAACGCCACAACCAGTCATCCAGTTTATAAAATAATATTGGTAATGCACCCAACATATAAATAATAAATCACCCGTGGTAGGTGCCCAGCCTACCTCATCGATCGGTTAACTAGTGGTCTGTTTTACATCCAATCGCCGTTCGCGATTGCCATGACTGTTCACTCGGGGCATAAGATTTATTTCGTTTCTGTTGCCGCCAGTACAGACGCTTTACGTTGTTGGTTTATATGTCAGGTTGCACATAGCGTGCTACAGACGAGTGCAGAAACGTTATTCAAAAACATTGTTTTTTGCCTATTAGTTTTCGTCATTTGGTAATAAACCCTATTCAGCTAGCATTAGCGATGTACTACTTAACATACTTAGAGTCAGCATAATTGGTAATTGTTTATGATTATCAGTACTTGGAGAATTAGGGCCAGCCATTAAGGCCAATAGCGTCGGGGTAACGGTAATTGCAAGCGGAATGGAATGAAATCCGGGTGACCATGTCGGTGGACGCTGCGGCATTCCAGCAGATCCTGCGTTACGCTGGCAGACGCTGGCGGTATCGTAAGGGACATCATTCATCGGCATAAGATCCTCTTCGATGCTCTCGCCCGCCGTCCGCCTGTATATGCTGACCGTTATGATTATGTTCACTATTATTTGTTTCATACGTACATATAAAGCATCCCCGTTCTTTTCTACATAAATTTTGATTACAGTAACCCTCCCTAACGACCCTTAGGGTATACATATGTAACAGTAGTATTCTTGTAGCAGTAGAGCTTCATGTGAAAGAGTTTATCCAGGCAAGTACCGCCAATTTCTGCCGCCAAGTAGTAGTTTGACCATTACTGCATTCCGTTTTAAAGAGTGCTGGTGAAATTACAGGCACATGAGACTTGTCAACTTCGACTTATGTTTCAAGGTGCTAGGCGGAGTAGTAGTACCCCTCAGATCTATGGTATTTATAACGCATACACTGATAGCCTCGCACTAGAGAAATTCTTAAAAAATGTAATGCTCTGAGTAACACTCGGTATTATAAAAAAATATCTGATTGAAGCGTCGGTTGTCCAATTCTCACATTTAGGCTCTAACTATGAAAATGTATCGATGTTTCTCAAGTCGGAGTCAAATTTGGTACTTGATTTCGAAAGCCTCTGTGGTGGCTAGCTGCATAGGCAGCTTCTGCAAAAATGGAATTAAATACTTGATAAAGTTAGTTAAACTAAACAGGAAATTAATATCTAAAGACACTTCTGCCATATCATAAAGATAACCTAGAAATTTAAATAAAGGTCCCGACAAAATTGCCGTCACAGCTGCTTAGGCGTCCCGTATTATCCACCACGATCTTGTGCAACGTTTCTATAATCAACCACGCCTCGTAATATGTCCTGTCCAGCTCCATTTTGGCTCCGTTGTCCGATCTTCTAGTCTTGGTCCTTAGTTCATCTTCAAAACAGTAGATGCGTACAAAATAAATTTCCGACAGCGTCAATCAGTTATATAATAACGCAACACACTATAGCCCCGCAATAGGGAAACCCTGTATTGCGGGTGCCATGAACACACACATAAAGAACCACAAATTACATCCAAACTCACGAGAGAAATAAATGTAGGCCATACACATATTTCTCCCGACCTGGGATATGAACCCAGGATCTCTGCGTGGCTGTCCAGTATGGTAACCTTTTGGCCACAGAGGCAGTTAAACATATTTTAGATAGATTAATTTAATTTTACTCATTTGCTGTCTCCACAAATTACTACTTGTTATTATTATTATTTTTGCTTAATGTATAAATAAAATAACGACAATTGTAAGTTTTACTACGCCATTGGAAGGTTTGCTAATACTTGTAGCACAGGTTTTCCTTTTTTTAAGTACCAGCGGTCATATCAACTGATTCTTTGATACTTACTTACTGTAACACTATGCATGTTGTATTATAATTATGGCAAACAAATTTATTATAATTATTATATGTACAAGAAATGTAAAGTTCCCGAGCAAATAGACATTCTTTGAAAAATATTCTCCAGCAACTGTACATCGATACATTTACGTTAGTATAAACAAAAGAGCAACGTCTGCGACTGTTTACGAAACCCTGACGGCTGCATTGGCCGGGCTGCAATAAATCACCAGCTCGGTTTGCTCTGCAGTTAACTGGTTATGCAACGGGTTATTGGTGTATTCCATGGTTTATCTCTAGTGGTGTAAAGCCCGACCAATCCGAAGCGCCATAACATACCGCTACCTATATTTGCATTGGTTAATAGCAAATAAATCAGTTGGATGCCTACTTATTTGTTGCGAGGAAAACCCGCTAGTTTGGTTACAGTTTCATTATCATCAACAGTTTTCTGCGCTCACAAGATTATTTTAGTGTTGAATAGTAAAAGCATTTTTTTGAACCACAATGATCCGTAAAGCCGGACCCGGATCTTGGAGTACAAATATCTACTTCGATTTCAACTTACGATTAATTTTTCTAAATTTAAATTTACTCTTTCATGCTGTTTCTTTAATTTAAAATAGCATTTTACTTAAATGGAATTAAACCTTAGATAGACCGTTCCAATCTGCATCGATTTGGACTGTTCAATTTCCAGATGAGGCTAGCAACGTTTTAAATTCTTGCATGCAGTTATTACTTACTTTTCAAAATGAAATAATATCTCTATGAAGCAAAATATCCTGTCTACAATATTTAAAGCACACCGTATATACGTACATAAATAATTAATATAGACAACATCATATACGGTTGCTCTGATTCCAAAGTATATAACTAAAGCACTTCTTTTATGGAAATCGGGAACAACAACCAAAACACCCGCACCCGACACAATATACAAAAGCTAATTTTCTACGTTGATCCGGCCGGGGATCGAACCTAGAACCTCAGAGATGGTGACACCGTGAAAACCGATGTACAAACCACTACCAGGTCGTCAAACATATCTGGTATATTTCTACAAGATTACAAGTTCATATACCATTATAATAATGTAGAGTCATTCTGAGCCGCTGCTATATGGAAACAACACGTCATATGGTAGAAACTCAAGAATGTATATATTACAAATATTGCTGTAAATCAATGTTTAAACTATCGATTCTCTATTCGATGTTCGACTTATTGGCAGTAATCAATAGTATTAGTCAAATTGTGATATTAATAATATCGAAAAGAAGCTCTATCGATACAGTAACTAAATCTTAAGGTCTATCGATAATTAAAAGTAGTGATAGTTTTTCCACACTATTATCATAGTGCTTACAAAAGATAAAAAAAAAAACAATATCGATATCAAACAGTTGAACAAACTAATCCAAAAACGAGAAAGTCCTAAATCAATACCAGACCCATTAATTACAAAATGACAAAAAATGATAGAAATAAAACATTCGCCACATGGAAACGATCGCAAGCTAGTACGAGACAAAAACTATAATAAACTATGCGACTTCCTGGTAGAATCGATTAATAACCGCGTGGCTGCGTCTGTGCACCATTTGTCGCGACTTGTCACAATAAAGAATTAACAGTAACATGACTCCACCTACTGGGCGGGCGTTATTATTACATTGCAACTTATCTACTGCCTATCTTTTAAAATTAACATTTTGTTTTGTCACAGAACGAACATGAAGCTATGAATAGGAATGAATACTCGTATACTATACTTACATGTCAACACTTATTTCTTACTAATTGATTATCTGTCAGTAGAGATTGTGAAATTACAGGCACATGAGACGTGTCAACTTATATCTCAGGGTGACGGGCGCAGTGGCAGTGCCCTTTGATCTTTACGATTTAAAGCTCTGAGTGGCACTGCAACTGTTATGGCGTGTAGCTAGCTAACCATCAAGCGCACGACTTGTACATCCCATCATTTGATATTATAAAAAACATTTCATCTTTTTATTGTTACACCTGGTGACGAAACGGACAAGTCGTGCTCCTGGTGTTAAGCGTCCCGCCTATCCATCGCTATTACAGTGCCAGCTTTAAATCTCAAGATCTGAGGGGCACTCCCACAACGCCCGCCTGTCACCCTGAGACATAAGTTGATAAGTCTCATGTACCTGTAATATCACCAGCACTCTTACCTTTCAAAACCGGAACACAGTGTAATGGCCTTATTACTGCTTGGCGGCAGAAATAGGTAAGGTGGCAATATTTGCCTGGACGAACCCTTTCAAAAGGAGAATTATTACTTAATATCACAGTTTATATAATCACTATTATATTGCGGTATAAATTGTAGTAAGCTCTAAAATAAATTTAATAAATCAATAAAAATTACCTGACCTCGATTTTCATTTGCCTAAAGAGATTCAAATAGTACTTAATGGCGTTCAGCAAACTTAACATGAGCACGAAGAGAAAAATAAAAGAAGACGTCTTGTTCAAGCTGAAAATTTCCTTTAAAAAAATTACTTTATTTGTACAGTCATGAGCATGGTCTTCGCGCAGACTAATGCTATAGTAGGTGGACAAGAGAAAAAATGTTTGTGCTTATGTTAAGCCTGCTGGCCTTTTAAATTTAATTTCTTTTGCTTCTTCCTGTTTCGAGCAAGCCTAAGTTCCAATTTCGTCCCTTTTATCACAAAAAGACGTAACTTGAAATTATATCCAAAAAAGTTATTCAGAATAGTTATGTAAACACTTTATTGTCCCTACAACAAAAGAAACTACAAATTTTTACAAAGAATTTAAAACGTTAGTGTTCTTTGTTGTGACGAAAGTGTTTGGTTGTTGTTAAGTCCATACAAATCCTAACACCATATAATAATTAACTGTGTTTACCATTGCAAAAATTGTCCACAGCCCCCCAGAGCAGAGTCAGCAACGCAACACGCCACGTAGACGCGAGGTGCCTCCTCCGGAGCCCTGCCCACAACTCACGCAGCCCTACGCCTCTGAGCCCAGCGCCTGCGGTCCATTGTACGCCGCGCACGCGCACCCTGTTCGGTAAGAGTAGGAAACCGCTTTTTTTATGGTATATATCATCACCATCATCATAATCAACTCATTTGTACGTCCCACTACTGGGCACGGGTCTCCTCTCAGGCGAAGGTTTAGGGAATAGTTCACCACGCTGCTGCAGAGTCGAACTCATGGCCCACGCTTGAGGCGGTAAGTCGAACCATTATGCTATTACGGCCCCATGGTGTACATTACCCAGACATATGGTTTATTGGAGTTGATAACGCCACTTATTGACTTTTGCCATATTATAACCAAAATAAAATCAACATAAAAAATTATATCAATGTTTAAACGTGGTGTAATAAAGTAACTAAAATGTTTACTCATAAATCATTACTTCGTTACATATTGGAACATATGAGTTTAAGTCCTTACTAAAGAAATAATTTAAATCCAACACATCTTGCCCACTTGGTATACTATATTTTGAGATTGGGATTGTATTAGGTTATGTTATTTATGATACAAAATAACCGCTACAGTAGTGCTTTGCCAATAAAAAAAACTACGTCTAACCTTCATTAAGTTAGCGTATTTTATAAATACAAAATGCAAATGCAAAAACAAGACAATATGAGTAATTTTCAGGTTAGTTATCTCTATAAAATGTCGGTGACAATTTTTATTATTCAAACACTCTTAGAATATTATTATGGATTATATGGCTAGGCTAAATAAATAAGCCAGTCGGTGGAGCACTATGTGTATTTATTATTTAAAAACGGGGCACAGAGACATTACACAGATACTACGACGTAAGTAAACACTTATGACAGGAACTAATACAAAAAAATTGCAGCAGAAAAGACGCGCGCATATGAAAAAAACTTCTAACTGGGAACTAGTGTTAAACGCGGTTCTTGGATACTAACTGGGGCGCGCGGGGGTGCGGGTCGGTAATCACCAGGGATCGGAATAGGTAGAGTTTTTTTACCTAAGCTTCGAGGAACATAGACAGAAAATGGAGACTGCCTTACGACAATATTTTTTAGGTCCCAGGACCTTTTCAGGATTGGGGAATGAACATTAAAAATTGACGTAATGGGGGACAGGCAGGTACACTATATTTATCTTAACTTTGCGACGCACAGTGGGTCGGATCTGCGATATTGCGGCCATTGGATTTTTTTCCCGATACCTGTCTAAAAAAAATGCCAATCGAGAGATTCTATTGTCTTAATTAGATATTGTTATATCACATTTTGCCATAAATATAATAGTTTAGCAGAACAAAAATAAACTGTGTATTTTTTGTATGGGACCTTACCTTTAATGCCCCATCGTTACAAAGTCTTAATCGATCCTGCCTTGGAATCACTATAGACGTATTATTAGATCTATTTTCAGTAGATTTGCACACTAAACGCGCGCCCAAACCTGCCTATGCGTACTTTGTAACAAAGAGGCACTAAATTTGTGGTCCTCTGTTTTTTTCCTTGTTGAAATTAGATTTTTTCATGAAAAAATCTATTAATTATTAAATCTATTATTAATGGCTAAATATGACATAACAATATTTAATTAGGACAATAGGATCTCTCGATTGGTATTTTTAGAGAGGTATTGTGAAAAAAACCCAATTTCCGCAATATCGCAGATCCGACCCACTCTGTGTCGCAAAGATAAGATAAATATAGTGTACCTGCCTGTCCCCAATTACATCAATTTTTAATGTTCTTAAGTGATTTCCCCAATCTCGAAAAGGTTCTGGGACCTAAAAAATATTGTCGTAAGGCCGTCTCCATTTTTTGTCTATGTTCCTCGAAGTTTAGGTGAAAAAGCTCTACCTATTTCGATCCCTGATAATCACCTATAAAACGGAAGTTACCGGAAGTCGTTTCATTATTACCATATTTGGTCATGAAAAAGTGACATTTTGGCAAAACAGGGTCGATGGCCAGAAGCGCCATCTACATTCGCAAAGACTAATCTAGTTCATCGAGGATGAGTGGTCGTCGCGATATCGGGTAGGACGCTTCGGGCGCACTAGATGAGGTTGACACGCTATAAGTATTATTTAATATTGAATTGGAGTAACGTGAAGTATTATTATAATAATTAAAAATAATAATACTCGAATACTTAAACAATAAAAATTGCTACCGAAACCCATATCGAAGGGTTTCACGTTTTACTGCTCAAAGAAAATTACGCAATCAAAAATGTAGGTAAATCATTACTTCGAAACCGAAAGGGTGCAGGTGAAATTACAGGCACATGGGACTTTTCAACTCATATCTCCGGATGACGAACGCAGTGGCAATGCCTTTGCGATATAAAGCTCCGAGTGGCACTACGACTGTTATAAATACGCGTGTCGCTGACCACCAGGCGTTCATTCCATCATTCGGTATCATAAAAAAACAGCCGAACAGATGTTCATTCCATCATCACCGTTCAAAACCATCACAATTAACTTAGCCTTGAAATGAAAAAATATCATTTTGAGATATACTGAGATGTTTATATGACACAAAGATACAGGCTTCAAACTTATAACTCCCCTCTTTTTTATCGGGAGTTAAAAAAAATGTTACCTTTAATTCCTTTAGACAAATGTAGAAAATGACATCGAGAGCCCAGGGGGTAGGCAATTTTTCCCCTTTGGATAGCAAACATAATTACATTATGAACACCTATGAAGTTTATTTGGCTGTACATACCGTTTTGTCGAATTGCTATTAGAAAACTTAAAGGCGTTTCATAGTATTTCCAATTGCAGGTACCAGCCGCACGCCAGCCACAACACAGCATACACTGCGTACTACACCCATAGGTAGCTTCTATGGCGCTTAACAAAAAAAACAATGGATTGTGATAAAGACAACTGGAGGTTGCATAGCTAAGGTCGGGATACATTTACCAATGAAAGCAATTTTGTTACGTGATTCTAACTTGTTACATATTCATCAGTTTTAGTTCCAATTATGTTTCGTGTTTACGACCATTTGATAATCCTACATAATGCTTCTGTCCTTTCGTTGTGGAACTTTCTCTTTCATGAATTTGTCTATGAAGTTGTTGTTCTCATCAGAACACATATTTTTTTATCGAACGCTCGTATTAACAAATCAATGTCAAGTACATTTACGTTATTGATTTTTATTAATATATATCACTTAAATGTGCATCAAGGATTACAGAATAATTGCCCCTTGTTTGAGTTTTCTATATATTTCATGAAACATCACTCAGCGCGATCTGTGGCTCAAAATCGCTGTTAAGCAGGGTTTGAAATTGACAAGAAATTTATTTTTCTTTGATAATTGTCTAATAATTATCCGGTAATCATTTACGCTGATTCATGTCTGTTTTGTCTCTTTAATATTTGACTAAAAATTACAAACGGTGACAAAACTAAATGATCACAAAGAAAAGTCTTTGAGAAAACGAATTGGTGATTTTTTTTTAATTGAACGTGATTTTTTTTTGAGACTGGCTTTAACACATTTCGATACGTCTCGGGTACAAACACATGGCACGACATTGGTAACATTTAATTGTTCCAATGAATTATTTAAATATCAATACTTGTTCTTCTTCTTGTCCTTATCCCACGCTAGATAATTATCAAGGTTATCATATTATCATATTTACCAAAATAATTATCGTGATAATTGTCACCAGTATCAATGATAATTGTCACTTTGAACCCTGCTATTAAGTACTAATCAATCAAATGCAGGATCTTGGTCACCTGTGATGTTATTATCCAAGATATCAATTATTCTAATTAGTCTATCAACATAGGAGATTAACATCTACCGGATTTAGGACCTGTTTATTAATACGGGCCTAAACTTACGCTCTTGTCACTAATTTCTTATTGTACTGGGCGCAACAGAAAGAAGAAGGTGTCAACGATACAGAAAATAAATACAATCTTAATTTGCAACAAATAATTATCGATTATCGAAAAGTATACGCCATTGTTGCTACACAAAATGTGGAAGACACGAAATTTGTTTTCTTAAATATATTCTTTATTTCTGGCTAAATATTTTTCGCTTTAACATCTCGTTATAGAACTGTCAATTTTTTATTTAGGCTATACAGGGACCAGAGTTGCGTAAAACTCACCGATTTCTCATATGTTGATAAACCTTTTTATTATTTAAATAATTAAGTTTTTAGCCAGGTCATAAAAATCAATCGAGAAAATGTGAATCTTTGGTGTATTTTGCGTAATAACGACGACAGGAAGGCAATTTATTATCATTTTTGTGAACACAATAGACTCTTTATACACATTCAAATACAGGAGTTAGCTGGTTTTTTTAGAACACGTAACAAAATGATCCCAATTTTTATAACTTTTAAATTCTTGGTAACATAAAATTTGTACAAAAAGTAACAATTTCAATGGTGTTTTTAAATTACTCCAGCAACGACAATAAATAACGTTATGAAATCACCAAAGAAGGATACCAAAATAAAGGCGAGATTACGACATAATAAACCATGTAAGGGAATTTTTGTAATACACAGCCCTTCACAACGATCGAAAGGCTTACAGTAAGCAATACGATAGATAAACCACGTCTTTAATTTCCAAGTGATTGGTTACCAAATAGTTTTGTAACTCCTTCTCCTTCATCAATAATGGACTTTGGCATTATTGCCAGAAAATCGATTCCTGTGTGTATGATTTCTAGCCAAACACAAGATTCATATTTAAGTAATTATTCTGCCCTCGTTATTATAACCATGGACAAATAAGTCAAAAGGACTGCTAATTATATTATAATAATTATTATTATATTACAGATCGTAACTCCGAAAAAGGTCAAAATTCCGACTTATATCTAAAAGCCGCTGATTAATAATAGCCTGGAAGTAGTTTATGTTATATAATTGGCCGTAGATATCAGTTAATTCCTCTATAATATTAAATATAAGTGTCTGTTTTTTCCTTGTAATATTATTCAAATATTAAACCCCGTGTCGCGGGCGCCATGGACACACACATAGACAACCACAAATTACACCCAAACTTACGAGAGAATTAAATGTAGGCCATACAAATAGTTCTCCCGGCCCGGGAATAGAACATGGAACCTCTTAACACACATTTTAACAGTTCGGCCACGGAGGAGGATTTAGGCACAGTACGGAACTGTAACAAATATAACGTATCAGTGAAAGGAATTGTGTGTTACAAACTAATTTAAAAATTAACCCTGGTTAATATGGGTAGATGGCGCTAATCCTAAACAAAAGAATAATAATAACAATAATAATTCGTTTCTTTGCTTAAAACATGGTGTAACAGAAGATGTTACAAGTGATATTGCCAGTACAAACATGGTTTGCATATATTAAATAGCATGCAAATGTCTAGCCGACAGTATCCGTAAAAATGCACGCAATAAGCGCCATCTAGTTGATTTGTTTGTTATCACTAGAAATTAGAGTAGCTTTGATAAATTGCAGCTCGTCAATGTAAAACAAATTAGTTACAAAAAAAACAATATTTGGTACTCGTCGCGACATCTGGTGTACCAGTAGGTACTAAATACCCAACTACGCTTTTATGTATCGCGATTAGCAGTCCTCTCCGAGTCATTGGTCTATGTTATAACTAACGTAATCGTCATTTTTAGCGAATTTGGGTTATTGACACATCTGGAATCAGCGAAATGAGATCTAGAACCCTCTAAACAATTTATTATAGCTTGTTTAGTTTCAATTTTATTATTAAGCAAAATTAGCGTAACTGACAATAAAAAAAAACTTTAGTTATGAATATCCCCAAAAAAATTAACAAAAAAGTAAAGGCATCTAACTGGGTGACGAAATACTTTCACAGATTTCTCATAGATGGCGCTACGGCTAAAAAGTCATTTAAAAACCAAATACAAAAGATACGACAATAAGCACGTAGAAAAATTCGTAAGGTCCGCTGGTACGTTCCGTGGCTTAGTTGGCATAGCGTCTGGCACGATTTGCTAGAAGACGTCGGTTCGAGTCCGGCTGGACCGAAGGAATTTTTTCTAGGTGTTCGATCTTTGTATTAATAATTATAACAAACTAGTGGAGAATTTCACATAAAAAATAATTGAATATAAATTCAATAAAAGTTTAAAACGCAAATGAGTTAGGAAAAAAGAGGAAAGTATTTCTGTTTCAATATAAGTTATTTGAATTGGTTTTTACGTTCTGGAAGTCTTTTCGACGTTTATAACGTTATTATAAGGAATATTATTTTCAGATTCATAAGCAACTTCAAGCATTATTTAGTTCGCTTTAGTATCCGTGTACCTACTTTTTAAGTAAGTAAGTTTCTGCGCAATGGTGTAACGGTTACGTATTGAAACAACTTTCTAGAACCATGAAATTATTATAGTATTTATATTTAAGAAGACTGTGCAGAACATAGGCCTATAGAAAACGAGGATTTGTCGCCAATTTGCTCGCTAATGTACTTAGGGTCATTCTGATTTTGTCAGAATGTTTTCTGAGAACAGTGTTTTATATTTTGTACCAAAGAATTTGAAACCAAGTCCCTTAAGTGTGTGTCCCTAAAGTAGTCCCTTAAGTGCCATATAATTATATAAATAGATTTTTAAGTTTACTTAAGATAGAATCTACGTTTGTATATTTATTAAAATTGTCATTAAAGTGTAACTATAATATCATTGTCGTTTTTATTTCGGTTCCAACATCAAAACATATGGCTACCGTGCCCGTTTCCATGTGTAACCGATCCCAAATCCCCCCGATAAATGTTATTAAAGAGATTTAAACAAATATTTACAATAGGAACACAAGGAACAATTCCTTCGATCTGGCTGTACTCTAACCAATGGCAATGCCATGCCGTTGCAAACAAAGCTATAAACCGAGTCTGCAGACCTTAAGAACTTCTCTATGGGTTTGTCAAAGATCTTTGTACTAGGCTTAAATGGCTTTTATTAACAATAATTACATTTAACATGGTTAACAATAACCGGAAAAGAAACAAGTTATAGATAGATTACAATTACAATTAGTAGGTAATCTCGAAATCAGATGGGTTTCCGGACGAGAAGATGAATCTGATTCCTACTATATCTTTTTAATTTTTGAGTTCAATCAACTATTGTTCCGATTGAAATGTCACAAGTTTCCGATCGGCCAGTTGTGAATCCCAATTATGCGCCTCGGCTCGAAAGCGACGCAGTTTCCGAATTGGAGAGGCAATCGAAATCAATCTGCCGATTCCTCCACGCATCCCGATCTTGAACTAACTGGAGTCAAGCCTTATGGTAGGCGTCCGTTCGTCACGCCATCGCTTCCTCGGTCTGCCGCGGCGCATTACGCTTTTGGGACTCCACTGGGTTGTTACCTTGAGACACAGGTCTTCAGGTATGCGGCAGACATATGGTATAGATAGATAATAATTGAAAAACCTGAGTAAATAATGAGTTCTTCTGTATATTGCACGCACGGTCCGCATTGTACTACACGATCGTGTGATTGTATCTTTGTACTTATCGTGCTCTAAAAATACGTCATTATGGCCCTACTAAAGTGCATCATTTAATCCCTAGAGAGTAAAAAGTACTAGTTTTTTAATTTACTTCGAGTGACCAAAACTATCAAATAACAAACTCAAATAGCCAGTACATGTTCTAGTTTGTGCCAAAACGCAAAATTCAATAAGTGAAACAATATAATTACAACTAAAACAACACTTAAAAATAATCACGAAAGCAAAAAAAAGGTATATATTATATAAACTTTAACATTATAATAATTTATCAAAGTAAATAAACCTACCGTTTCACAGAGATTGCTGCGCTGCGGAAATTCAATAAAAAAAGAGCTTTTCTGTGGACCAAGCCCATTATGAAAATGTTACGTACTAAGACTACTCTCGGTTTTAGTTCCGTGTGGACAGACACGGAACTAAAATAGCATAGCATGGACGGTGGCGCCATATTATTTTCCCGCGTTAGTGCCTTTGTGTATAGACAGTTTTAGTGACGCGACGGAGCACTTAAATCGTTCGAAAAACGCTCATGATTGTCAAAGATCGCTAATCGTGGCGTTTTGCTGTGTTTGTTGTATCTGTGTCTGGTTGGAAAGAAAATACCGCGAAAACTTTAGAATTTTGGTTTTTTTTTTGTTTGCTTTGCACAAACGCGATGCAGTCGCTAATCGTCCACCTTTACACACGCGCACGATTTTAAGCAGTGATGCAAACGCAATGCAAGCGCGCGACTGCATCGATACTAACGCGCGATTGCATCGCTACACTTGGGATTTATAGGCGGTAGCATCGATGCAATCGCCTGTAATCGCAAGTGTAGCGATGCAATCGCGCGCTTCACGAACGGGCTTTCGCATTCTTTTATTTATTCAAATAAGTAATTATACCGTATCAATTTTGACGCGTGCACTCTAAAAAATGGCACTAGATGCCGATAGAAGCGCGGCAGCCGCGCGTTACTTCACTAATTGTTACTGCAAACGTGGCGCTGCGACTGCGCTCCCAGACATTTTATAAAATTAATATTCTTCTTTATGCGTTTAATTTTAGGACGTCCTGAGAAATAATACCATATGAAGAGAGGACATGCTACATCTCAAATACGCATTGGCCCTTCGTTCGTAGAGCACTATTTCCGAAACTCCTCATAGCAATTTTGACATGTAAAGCAGGAATGAACGGCAACGAAAGCAGGAATTCGTAAACAAAAAAAAAATTTATTAATGCTGTCCCTAGATAATTGATTTTAAATAAACACATGTGACCACAAAGCGCTCACATAAACGTGAACGAAATTATACACTGAATTATACATTACATGTAAATTTCAATTATACATATACATTTAATTATATACATGGTGTGGAAATCGTTAACTATTCGTATTTGTTCCAAATTGCTAATGTTTGCTTACAAATAATATTCATTGACATAAATCAATGAGTCATTGCTCATTCGTACCACACCCAACTAGAGTAAATCTGATTCAGACAAGCCGGATATACCAGGGAGCGCAAGTTAAGGAAGTCACTCCCTACCTCACGCCCAGATTGTGGAGGAGAAGACCAACCAGTTGCTACCGGTGCCAGATCCTGCCGGCTATGCAGCGCATGATAGAAAGTAGGTAGTAAAGTAGTTAGTTATTTGGTAGTTAGGTAGCGTTGATGGTGTTGGGCTTTGTGCTGCCGTAATATTTTATCTTTTGTGAGGTTGTGTTCTCATCCATAGAATTCAAGTTGTATCATTTACTTCCCCTTCACATTCAGTGTCGGTTTCCTGGATTTTAATAATATTTCTTCTTTTTCATATTGAATTTTATTAATACAAAATTATTTTCATCAACGTCATTTTGAAAAAAGACTACATGTGTCTATTATTCATAACTGGGCAATATGTCGTGTATATACATGCGCACGAAATCGACAAACTTGGTATTTACAAATTCCCTGCTATTAACAGCTATTTACTTAACAATTGTACTTTAAACAACCGTTTCCGTTTAGTGGTCATATATGTATTTTACCTAAATGCTATTCGCTTCACATAAGGAAGAAAGTATATTGCATCTGCTGAGGCAATTGCTCAATTTGTGGCGTTTTAAAATGAGTTTTTTCACTTAATGTATAAGTCATTACATGGTTCACGGTAGAACATCCAGGTTCGTCGTGGTCGATTGTCACTTTGGAAGAAACAGTCTCTTCGTATTCTTCCCCAACTAATTCCGGTTCGGGTTCAATGACTTCTTCAAACGGCACAACAATCGATGAGATTGTAGTCACAGGTTCCATCGGACAGTAAGCTTGGTAGTGTTCTGGCATGAATGAGTCGTAAAATGTTGGTTTAGGTGTCGTTGGTGGATAGTGATGAGGCCGCACTTGAGTCTCGTATTGAGGAGAGTAATGAATGTGCTCATGTTTTGGTGGATGAGTAAGTTCAGGCATGTATTCATAGGGCGGTAAATGAGTATACATCTCTTCAGGATGGTTGACAGCATACACATAGTAGGTATCTTCTGCAATCTTGCCGGACGACTCCTTTTCCAATGGAACGAACTCTACCTGTTTTAGGGTAGTATTTTTACCATCGCAAGTTTCAGTCAGCATGGAAGTCAAGTCTTTAGCTTGTTCACTGGCCGCAACGGCGAAATCAGTCAAAATGTTAGGATCAGGATTGAACGCAATGCCGTATTTGTCAGCAATTTCCTGAGCTGACATCATTTTTTCAATAGCAATGTTCTGGTACTCGTTATTAGATTTAATGTGTTTCAATAATCTCATCACCATCTGAGTACTGTCCATAGGAGTTTCTCTTTTCCTTCTCAAATGGTTTTCGGTTTTCAATTCTCCTTTTTCGTCCTTATCTTTTTCACACGTATTTAAAGCGTAAGTCAGCAAATTAGCCATCTCGCTTTGGATGGCCATAGTAATTTTGTATGCCATATCTTTAATTTCTCTTAGTTGGTCTTCGACGGTTTTGTTGTTGGAACTGTTAGTTACCTGAGCCATCATAGCAGCAGACGAAGACGGGTAAAAATTATTCTCTCCTTTGGAGAACATATCCATCCAGTGTTCATGGCCTTCCTGGTCTTTTTCGTCTACATCAGGTTTTAGCAATTCTTCACGACTTGGAATCGGATCTTCGCTAACGTCTATTTGTGTAGCAAACACAAAGGAGCACTGGAACAGTAATTTGCATTAATTAAGTATGAGTCCATTAAACGGGTTTACGCAAAATGTTTATGCATTTATGACCTTAGGGTTAATATTGTGAGATTTATTCATTAGCCCATTCAGAACTTCAATGACAAGTAACATAAAATAATTTTCAATGTTAATTGTATTTAGTTACTCACCTGTATGATTAAAGCCAGAATTAGGTATGTTTGCGCCATTTTGACAACGTTGTGTTGTCGGGAGTCAAGGGTGGTTCGTTTTATAAGTAACTTTATCACTTATTGAGAAACTAATTGGAACATTAGTTGCAGCAATTGTTTCATGTACTTGATATGACATGCAATGCAACACATAGTTCATCACTCTTATGAAACATGGTACCATTTTCTCGATTATTTTCTTTTTTATTGCAAGAAAAGAAGTTTGGCTATTTGATTTCGTCATTCTTTGTTTATTTTTTTACACTAAGGCATTTTGCACAGTCAATTCACATAAAAAATTGTTCATGAAAATGTAATTGTTGATATTTAATTTGTCGGAATTTAGTACTAAGTCATAATTTAAAGCAAATACCAGTTTAAAAATAAAACCTCAAAATAATTTCCACAATGTTTTATTAAATTCTAATATTAAAAAAACTTATTTTATTCTCATGGACACCAGAACTAATTCTAAATGTTTACAATTATTTCCTAGGTAAATAATTATAACGGTACATACAATACTTTGGTGATTAACTACCTATTTACTAATAGTGTGGTGGTGGTAGTTCGGCATATCTTGGATTGGCAGGAATTCTATACGAACAAGGAGGGGGTGGAGGGTAAGGGCTGGAAGGTGGTAGGTAGTGGCCAGCTGGTGGCGTGTAGGGGCTAGCAGGTGGCGGGTAGGGACTAGCAGGTGGCGTGTAGGGGCTAGCAGGTGGCGTGTAAGGGCTAGCAGGTGGCGTGTAGGGGCTAGCAGGTGGCGTGTAGGGGCTGGCAGGTGGCGGGTAGGATGGGGGAGGATAGGAAGGTGGCACACTTGACGGATAGGAAGGAGGAGGATTAGATGGATACGGCGCTGGGGAAGAACTTTGTGGTGGGTAAGACAAGTGAGAAGGCGGACTTGGTGGGTAAGATTGAGGAGGATAATAGCTTGGAGGAGAAGGGGGTGGTGAGTGTTTATAAGACGTTTGTTCAGAATAGTATTCATGTGGTGGATAAGTCGGTTGGGGTGGATAAGCTGGCGGGTACGTCGATGGGTGAGAAGATTCCGACGTGGGTGACTTGGGCGGGTAGTGGTAGTTATCGTAACTGTACCATGAGGATGTTGGGCTTGGATACAAGTAACTATATTCTGTTGTAATCGGTTCGGGAGAGTAAAAACCAGGGACCGTTGTTGAAGTTACGGTAACTGTTGGACTGGATGTAGGTGTCCCTGAAACTTGAACTGCTGTGGGAGTGGGGGGTTGAGGTGAAGACACGTAGATAACTTGAGGGGTTGATGACGTTGGTGGAGGAGTGTAGTTTGAGGGATAAGTAGCTGGGTAGGTACATGGTTGAGACTCGTAGGTGGATGGCGCGCTTTCACTGGACGATGGCGATTCCGGTGATGTTGATGATGATGAAGAAGATGATTGTTTCGCCAGGAATGCTGATAAAGAAACAATACAAATAGTAATGTTACTCAGATTTTTATTGGAGATGGCAACGCTAGATCGGCGGTTTTGCAGCCTGAATGCTAGGTAAAAACTGCCTCAGTTTGATTCCCGATAGATCAAGTTCAGGAGTCAAACTTTTCTATATTAGTTTTTTCTGGTAAGTCCCAAAGAATTATCAAATTTATAATTAATAATAATATTAATAACGCAAACACTCATAGCTCCGCACTAGGAAAACCCTATGTCGCGGGTGCCATGAATACACACATATGTAGGTAACTACAAATTACACCCAAACTCACGAGAGAAATAAATGTAGATCCGAAAAATATTTCTTTCCGCCCGAGAATTGAACCCGGGACTTCTGCGTTGCAGACCAGTATAGTAACCATTCGACCACTGAGTAAGTTAATTTTCATTGACATAGCCTATAATTGTTATCAAGTACATGTAATTATAATATCTATACAAAAAAGAAACAAAAAATATTTATGTATACTCTAAATGCAAATTAAAAACGTAAATAATAATAAAATAAAAAAATAAAATAAATAAAATATAATATAAAAAATAAAATAAAAACTAAATAAAAATAAAATAATATATAAAACTTTGTTCAAAATGTGTGATATGTATATATATGTATATGTACCTACGTCATACTTTCATCGAATAGGTATATATACACAAAAACGTAAAACTTAATTGCACTGTTAACCATCCATAATCAATTAAACTTCTTCAAAATGCCTAATTAGCATACATACATTATGCAACAGTGTCATTGTTCATTTCATTCAATTGTTTATTATAATACACGATTAGCATTTGTTAACTATACCGTGCTGTTACCGGCTGTAATCAAGGCCATCCTAAATTGTACCTCGGGGAAAATACAGGGATGTACTGGAAATGAGCAACAGCATCTCTTTGCATACTAAATTGCCACTTTACGGAGATCTCCAGCTAGCATACCAAGCGTAGCAATTATGACAAGTAACACTTTTGGGGACCTATGTCCGGTTGTAGACTGGTTTCATAATAATATAGAAAAACATTATGTTTTCCACTACGTCTACATCCAAATTCTAATCTAATTAGATGACACTTTAAATTTCTTTTTTTTTGAAGAGATTTAACGGTTTTAGTTAGCTTTATAGCCAATAATATAGCCTCAATTCAATGTTTGTATGTCATTTGACAAAGACCATCCAGACAAACATAAAGTTGGAGCAGTCCAATCTGGAGTATATCTCAGGCCACTCTGCACTCGTCCTTCGGGACAAGTTAAGGCGTTTAATTAGTCATACTACCAGATTTAATTTTTCTTCAATCATTTCATTTTTTGACATTTTTTTTCGGGAAATTGTTATGTATGTATTGTTGTGTACAGCGAACACCGTACAGTTATTTTATCTGAAGTCGGAAAAGTATATAAGCAATGACAGATTACCTTAGATTAAGACGGAGACTGAAGCAGAAATAAAGTCTATAAGAAGTAAGTAATACATAAATGTACTAATTTACTCACGTGCATATAATGCGCTGATCATTTGATTCATTCGGTCGTTAAGGCAGGCCAGCTGGAAAAATGCGATTATTATATCAAACACGCAGCTAAATAGGACATATTTTTAAACCCAATTTAAATAAAGGATGGGGTAGTCAATTCGACTGTATTTTTTTGCATGTATTTTTGAAAGAGGTAACCTTGGTAGTGGTCCCATTTAAATATGAAGAAAAGATTCTACCTCTAAGGGCGGCAAACTAAGGTATGAATCCGGTTTCGCGCACTTTCCGGTATTCGATTTCAATATAACTCGGCAAATAGTTCACAAATTAGAAAGATAATAGATATAATTACACGAACTTTTGAGGTCCAAACCAGAAGAAATGGCTTTGAAATTGATTGAAAAAGAAGTTTGTGTAATCTTAAATTTAGTATGTTTACTGTAATTACTTTAGTTTAGTGTTAGTGTGTTATTTATTGTAATTTTAGTTGAGAGACGGTCGTTTTGTGCAAAAAAATAATAAATAAAAATTGTTCAGTAAATTAAGGGTAGAGGTGTGATGTAGGCATAATAGTAAATAGTTATAAGAATATTTTACAGTATTTTTGTATTTCTTTGATTCGCCAGTCCGCTAATAAACGTTCGACAGCTAAGCTATGTTTCCTTTGTACCGATATAAAACAGGTTTTTTTGGTACTCTGTACTTAGATCATAAGAACGAAAATTTACATTTGTAGTAGTATTTAAAATGCAGAATGTAGTATTCTTATTATATGTTAATATATGTCTTTATTGCACGTACAATTTCAGTGGGAACACGGAACAATAATTTAAGTATAAAATAATAAGCTTACAATGTAAATATGCATTTAAATTTTTTATCTTTCAAATGTACCCTAGGCATCCCAGTTTTTGTGTATGGGGAAGAAATATTTCTCCATTTTTCGAATTAAAAGCCGGTACATTTTTTTTAATAGCAACATGTATTTAAAAGACCATGTTTTCATATTATAATATTATACATTATAAATACTTATACATAATACATATTATAAATACTTTCATGTTTGGGGTGTATTCTGCATTAAATCGTGTACGTCCCGATGTTTTTTTATGAACAGGATTTAGGTCATATTTAGCCACCCAGGCCCAGTACGGATTATGAACTGCATGAAATTCATATTCACTAACATACGGGTTTGATAGCGACGTTTCAATCTCTAGCAGGAACGCAAACGTACTCTCTACTATACTATCACTGCTTCTTGAATGTCTGTATCAAGTGTCAAGTATGACGAAGAAGGCAAACCGTCATTTAGAGACGGGCTGTTCGCCTGGATTATTATAGAATAGTTGTTATAATAATTAAAAACAAAGACATTCAGGTTTTTAGGAAACAATAAATTCTTACCTGTGACTGTTGTAAAGCATGGCAACTAAACTTGGCATAACTTAGCTCACTCAGTCCTATTACTAACGCACTTACTAGAATTATTACCTTTAACATTATGCCGAATATACAATATCAAATTAAACAAATGAACATCACCCACTAGTGCTGTCACGGCATCTCAAATTCTAACTTTTTTAGTTGTGTCAATGGTATTTAAATGAAATTGAGCTTTATGATAACGTAAATGATATATTAATGATGATACAGACGTGCTGGAGATGAAATTATTATGATACGGGTATATCGATAAGAGTCGTATGCTGCGCGTGTTGATAGTGAGCTGATGGCTTATCATGAAGGTAAACTAATCATATTTGAAATTGCCAAAATGATTAAACATTGGTACTCTTTCGTAAACCAGATTCTAAAAACAGGTATTTTTGTTTACATTTATAATTTATAATAACAATATAAGGAATATCATTAGTACACAAAAATAAGAAAGCTGCCTCCCGCATCAGGCGTGCGCACGGCAGCGCTAATGGCACCCACACCTTTGTTGCCAACAGGCGAAACTTTCCTTACTAAAACCACAGGTAATATATTACTACACTAATACCAAAACTATTGGGGGCGTACATGTACATACATTGAATTTGCGGAGGATAGTGTCTAGCCGACAGTCTAACCGTTGCGTTTTAATCTGTCTAGTATTAGGTCTATCTGTATTGTGTTGTATAACTTTAGCATTTCAGAAAAAAATACTGTATTACTAACACTATTGTGATCCGAGACGTGGACACTCACGATACGGTTAGTTCACCAGTTGACAAGGTACGGAACAAGGTTATCCGACAGAGAAATAAGGTCGTCGACATAGCTGGTAGAACAAGCAAGCTGAAGTGACAGTGGGCTGGCCATATCTGTCGAAGAACCGATAATCCATGGGGGTTGCGAGTTCTTCACGACTTAGAAAACGTAGTGTAGGTCGTTCTATTGCCAGATGGAGTGACAATTTGCGAAAGAGAGGGCTATGTCCAGAAGTGGACTACAACAAGCTGTAGATGATGATGAAAACGATTGTGAATCACATAATCTGAAATAAATCATTCTATTCTATAACAGATTTTATTCTTTTTTGTGACACCAAGTGACAATGACAGAACGAACAAGTTGTACGTCTGGTGGTAAGCGACACGCCTGTCCATAACACCTGCAGTGCGACTCAAAGCTTTAAATTGAATGCGCCCGTCACCCTGAGACATAAGTTGACAAGTCCCATGTGTCTGTAACTTTGCTAGCACCCTTTACCCTTCCAAACCGGAACGCAATAATGCACACATTACCGCTCAGCGGCAGAAATACGGTGGCAGTACTTCCCACGACGAATTATTTCAAAAGAAGCTCTACTGCTACTAGAATACTACTTCTACTACTGCTACATTTGTAAGTACGAAACAATTAATAGTGCATATAATTATGAGGGCCAGCGCAAAAAGTGGACGGCGGGGGAGAGCATCGAAGAGGATTTTATGCCCATGAAGGATATTCCTTACGATACCTCGTGCGTCCGCTAGCGTATCGCATAATCCTCTGGAATGCCGCAGCATCTGCCGACATGCTACCGGTCACTCGGATTTGATTCCTTTCCACTGACGATTATATTTATAGACATTTTAATGGAGCCAATACCCTATCTGCCATTAAAGCTATTAATAAAGATCTTCTTGTGGTGAAGTCTTGGGCTGATGCGTTTGGTTTGCTTGTAAACCGAACGAAATCACAGGCAATAATTGTAGGTAGCAACAGACTTTACTGCAGGTTGGACATTAATAATCTCCCCAAGGTCTCGTATGATGGAGTGAGTCTTGCATATGCTGAAAACACAAAGAACCTGTGTCTGATAATCGACCATACACTGTTCTGAAGACCACAGGTAAATGAGGTTAGTCGACGCATACACTTTTCCTATCATTCTCTCAACCGGCTTCAATTCTTCTTACCGTTTAAAACCAAGGTTATGCTTGCTCAGTCCCTACTACTCCCTCTTCTCGACTATTATAATTGTTTGTTATTTGGATGTTACTGAGGAGCTGCTTAACAAACTGGAGCGCCTACAAAACCTGGCAATCCGTTTCATATACGGTTTACGTAAATATGACCATATCTCTGAATTTCGGACTAAATTGAAATGGCTCCCAATTCGACTTCGCCGAGATATGCACGTTCTTTGTCTTCTTTATAAAATTTTAAATTACCCCCAGCTTCCTCACTATCTGTGTTCCCGTTTTTCCCCCTTATCCCCCAATTCCCGCCCAAAACGTACCTGACACTAGAACACTTTTATATCCCCAACCCAACTCCAAATTCTTTCACAATTCTTTTACTATAAGTGCAGCTCGTATGTGGAATAAACTACCTGCTGACATTCGTGACAGTCCATCGGTGGCATCTTTCAAACACAAATTAAAAGAGCACTTCCTGTCGAACGCGTTAGATAATTAATCGGTAACATATTTGTAAAGAAATAATCTGTTATTATAATATATATTCTGCTTATGTATGTATTTATGTATATAAAATTCATGTATGTGTGTATGTCTGTCGTATGTATATTATTATCATTTATATTTTATTCACATTAAAATTTTAATTTTGTTGTACAATAATTAGTCCCGCAGACTTCATTTTTGCACCACGGCTAGGGTTGGCTGGAAGAGATCTCTTATAGAGATAAGCTCACCTTTGTATATGTCCATTGTAACGTGTGTTTCATGTGTCTTTTCTTTGTACAATAAAGAATAAAAGATTATCGCTACACTGGCCCTAATTCTCCAAAGAGCATATTTCGATTCAACGAGTGCGTTCGATGCGATCGTTGATGATTCGGAATCGCACTGATACTCAATACTAACATGGCGGTACATTCATATCTCTGCCAACCCAATGCTATACGTGTAAGACTGCGCTAGCGTTTGTTACAGACATATTTTGATCGAATTAAATTTAATTTAACTGCCTCCGTGGCCGGACGGTTACAATGCTGGTCTGACACGCAGAGGATCCGGGTTCGATTCCCGAGCCGAGTGAGACATTTGTAATGCCTACGTTTATTTGGATGTAATTTGTGGTTGTCTATGTGTGTGTCCATGGCACCCGTGACACAGTATTTCCCTAGTGGCGGGGCTATGAGTAAGTTCATTAAAAAAAAGAAAGATGAATTAAATTTGACATCTTTCTTTGGTAATAAATATGTAGATCTGGAGTTAAGTCATCGTATTCCCGGAAAACCCCCGACTCAGCGCTGCCGAAAATGCAACCGATGCAATTAGCAAATTAACGCAATATTTATTTTATGATTCGAAGATCAGACTTGTCGTGGCATTGGTACAAACTTAATTATATAAATTTTATTTTTAAAAGGCTTTTTTCGGTCGCCCGGACATAATTCTGGCAATGTTTTTTTTTCAAAGCCAAGAACAAAACTCAGTACCTAAATATATAAAAACTCATATTCAACCCTGTGCTATAAGCTAACATGCAACACTAGTTATTTTCATGTTAAATTCTTCAATACACAAGGAAAATATACATATAATGAAAAATAGAAATGAAATGTTGAAATTGAGGCGTTCTTGTTCAAACTACCACAAACAACAATAAACATCTCATTTTCGAATTTCGGATTTGTCATTCGACGACCTCCGTGATTGACTTGATTGACTCCGTGGTGACTTGCACACCGGTTTTCATGGCGCCGCCATCTCTGAGGTCCCGAGTTCGATCCCCAGCTGAGTCAAGAAAACTAACTTTTCTATATTGTCTCGATTCCGGATATTTGTAGTACCGTCGTTGTTTCCGATTTTCATAACACAAATGCTTTAATTACTTACTTTGGGTCAGAGCTACATTATGTGATGTTGTCAAATATTTATTATTATTTATTTATAACACGTCTACTATTTGATGTCATTTTTAAACCCCAAACGACTGTTTCAAATTCAATTTCAATTTCATGGTACCACGACTTCGTTCAATTAAGGTAAATGATTCTTTTACGGGGAACTGCATACGTTCTTACAAAAAGATTATATACATATTAAGATTTATTTATTTTCTTATGCTTTCGCTTAGCCTTAAGATATAACACTGTTTGTTTTTGTAAGTGATTTAATAAAATTAATATTTACACCTTTCTTTTCGTAAGTTTCTTTTCACTCTGCAATAATTTATTGTGCATGTAGTGTCGGTCTATAATGGATTGTGCACTTAGTTTAAAGTTTTTTTTTTGCATGTATGCGTTTTTTTTTATTGGTGTAACAATTGTTGACCAAATAAATTAAAAAAAAAAGATTATCATTTCCTAACTTTGAAAACTACATGACAAGTATTTTAATTGAAAAGTCATATTACAAAATGGAAGAGTATGTGTTAAATATAGTCTAGTCTATAGTCTAGATTCCACACAATTATAATTCAAAGTGTATTCCATAGCATTTAAGTTTATTTGAAAAGAGCAATTCCTAGAGTTTCTGGCTTGTTCTCCTCAATGACGTTTTCAAGTGTAAAAATTTTACCTATGAAATAAATGATTATTTGACTTTGGCAATTTTTTTTTTACAAATTGAACGTTCATCGTCACGTTGTTTTATTAACGTCATATCGCACCTCCGGTAAAACAATGGCTTAACTTACATTTGTAAAATTTATAGAAAACAATTAATGCATGAGCATTAAGGCGACATCTAATGATAGATGAAATATTGATTTTAATTGAAATATTAATTTTAATATAAATATATATTCTGTGGCATTCAGTATTATGCAGGTTGCATAATAATTTTTCACAGCCACAACACAGTTCGCCACATTTTATTAGTGATTATAAGTATAAACGGTCAATATTTATTGAATATGAAACGCACACTACTATAGCAAGAAATGTAATTTATTAATTAAAAATACATGTACCTATATACAAACTAACAATGTGTTTACAATTCACATTATGCAATAAATATATCAATAATTACAATGATCGTGGCCATTTTTTGGTCTTAATGTACAGTTAGCCCAGAATATTTAATTTTAAGTATATTTTACGAGTAACATGCGCAATGTGAAGGGGGTGGGGCACAACCGCACTGACACTTGGGCGGATGCTGCGGCTTGGCCTCAAGTGCCACAGGTACTGGAGGAGACACCATGTACGCGCTCATAGGAATCCCAGGTGGAGGGGCAGCACGACAAGGACACGGTGGCGGTGGTGGCGGTACTAGAGATATCACTATAGGTGCTGGCGCGGGGGGATGTCCAGGTGCTGGCAGGTATGCTGGAGCAGGTAAATACATATGTGGTGGAGGCGCTGGTAGCATCATCGGTGCCGGCGGAGGCGGTGGTACCGCCCAGTGGACCGGAGGGTGTGGTGGCAACACTAATGGAGCTGGAGCTGGTGCCGGCAATATTAGCGGAGTTGGAGCTGGTGGTAAACACGGCGAAGCTGGTTTTAACGGAGCAGGTGCTGGCAGTACTATTGGAGCTGGCGCTGGCGCTGGCAAATACAGAGGAGCGTGATGGGGACTCGGTAAGCAATGCGGAGCTGGGTATGGTGCTGGTAGGAAGATAGGAGGGGGTAACGCAGGGGGTGCGCATGGTGGTGGGAAGGGTAAAAATAATGGAGGTGGTGGTGCAGGCAATACGAGAGGTGGTAACGGAGCAGCACATGGTGACGGCGCCGGCGTACATGGCGTGGAAACCGGAGGTGTCGCGGGCATTAACAGGAGTGTAGTTGGTGGAGGTGGTAGCTTCAGTTTTTCCTTTAGATCCAAACACGGCTCTTTTTTATCTAAAATATTCATAATAATATGTTACAGATTTTCACCTTTGAAACTGACAACAACAACATCGAGTTCATTGTTTAACAAGTTATCTTTGTAAATTGTTACTTACCAAGTTTGCATGGTAGCATAGGTTTCAATAACCTGAAAACAAGAACAAAAAAATATATAATAATATGCTACAATAAGTTAATAATATAGTGAACTATATTTTATTCGAGGAATCATACTTACGTTGCTAGAACATTCTTTTTACATTCTTTGATGTCCTTGAGTGCCTCCAGCTGAAGTAGAAATAAACGGTTTATTATACACCAAAAATTTTAAATAAATGTAGCCTACTTTAAATCTCCTTGAAACCTCGAATTTGAAATTTACCATGAGCTTCTCGGTAAAGGAAAACAGGGATATAATCTGCACGTCGAAGAAGGTTCACAACCCTCGGAAAACGTGTGAAGTCCTCGACCCGCATAGTCCAACGTGGCGGACTATACCCTAAACCCGAGAGGAGACCCGTAACCAGCAGTGGGACGTATAAACGGGTTGCTGATGATGACTTTAAATCACGACTGTTAAAACATTCTATGTCCAGCTTAACTACTTTTCAATTTCATATTAAAAATATTTATAAAACTTTTAATCGAAATAAAAAAGCACAAGTTATTGAATATTTCTTACCAGACATCCCTTATCATCGCAGGCAAAAACATAAGTGGACGTCAAAAACAGCAAACCAAGGGAGGCCCAAAATACACGGCCCCCCATTTTGTCTTAACAAATTCACAGTTCAAGTAATGTCAATAAACATACCTGCCATCCTATTTAAACTAAATGTGTTGACATTAAATCGATATGATTGCCGATAAAAATCAAAGATTGTACAATAATTTCTGTAATCAAATATTTCAAAGCTTCATTCCTAAGTTAACTTGAGCTGTGATAGATGAAACGTGCCGATAAAAAGAGAGATCTTTTTATAAATATCGATATTAACGTTGGTTACTCATTATGCCATAGTTGCTTCACGTACGCTATTGCTTGTTTATTGGTATGACTACAGTAGTATACTAATTTTCATGGTTTTATTGACTTTGACTGCGCATAACAGTGAAAGTATTAAATTTTGAATATGAGTATGTAGCAAAATTTAGAATATACATTGATTACTTATACGGTGTGAAAACAGGATTCGTAAAAAATTTCACTATAGAAAAAAAAACACAAACTTGCCTCGAAATTTTACAAGAAAACCGGCTTATTCTATACGTAACCTTACATACACCAATGATTTTGTTTTATATCAACTGAACTAAATAGAAGATATATACTATAAGTGAGTAAGTAAGCATATGAACAAACAAAAAATCTTCTTCATGCTGCCCAATGAAATGTTTTCACATCAAATACGCACTGTTTTTCCCACACATACGCAAGCCACACGCGCGCGCAACATATACACACATATACACGCACACGCACACACACACATACACACACACACACACACACACACACGCACA